AGGTTTCGATTGATATATATAATAACAATAAGTATATAACTACGTACATGGTCTTGGGTCACTGATTAAGTTCATATCGCTCTTGGCAGGCATATGAAATTCCGTCTCGTGTAAAACTCACGGCTGTACAATATACAGGTGAGACAGATTTTGAGCTTAGTTCAACAAGATTGTGTGCGGAAGGCAGCGCATGTGAAATACGCACGTGCTGCTTATGCCCCCGAGCGACGTTCCAGTGCATCGCATGTGAAGGACGTCACTACACCAGCTCTACAGGCCGGACCAGGGCCCACAAGGTACGTTGACATGGTGATACGAAGCATATTCAAAGTTTTCAGGTCAAATATTGACATAGAGTTTATCTACGATGTCTGTATATTTTGGGTTGTATGGACAGAGTGCTCATTCTTGCTTCTTATTTACGGTGGGCGTAATAATCCGTTTCGGCTGTTTCAGTTTGACAGTTGCTTTGCCTTCTTGCCGAGTGGTCGGAGTAATTGCCGATCATCTATATTGTTATTCGCACTATGAGATCCGTGATCCTTGGTCGCGAGTTATTGAACACATCTCACGTCGAGTGAAGTGAGCAGCAAGTCAAAGTGCTACGTCCTTTGAGTATACGGATATCAGTACAGCTGAAGCAGTTTTGTGCCACATCTCAACGTTAAGTTTCTTTTACGTCCGTTGAGTATACGGATGTCAGAACATCTGAAGCATTTCTGTGTTACATTTCAACGGTAAGCTACTTTCATTGCTGCGAGAGATTGGAACTTGCGAGGATTCGGTATATTCCCATGTTACTCTGTCCAGCCTGCTTGTTTTCATAAGAAGGTTCGGTTGTACCTCTACAAAGCATCTCTTCGTGGTTGTATAAGCCATTTTTCAGCTGTGAATGAAATAGCCAAATGTACCGCCACGGCCTCGAGCCTTAGTTGCGAACTGACACCATTTCGCACATTACATACATGGGTTTGTTATATCTGCTGTAGGCGAGATTCGAGTGCCCACATAACCGGAACAACAATGGGACATCCGCAAGACAGCTCCAGTGCAGCTGGCGATGGACCTGCACACCCTTACGATGGTGTGTTGCCTGCCGGTGGTGTCTAGCATTGTCGGGCGCGTTCTCGAGTGTGTGTCCTGAGTGTGTACTGTGACTTCTGAAGTCTTCGGTACTATTGTTGCGGACCGGTCGATGTAGCAGCCGAACAAAGCCTGTCGCTACTGTGCTACAAATGTAATCGAATTGATTAGCTTGAAACAGTGCATGAACAAAGCATTCAATACGTAACACGTGCATGCACACATATCATACAATCATATTGTACCTTATATGCACATATTCTACAATCATATTGTAGCTTATAAGCACATATCCTACAATTATATTGTAGCTTATAAGCAACAAACATATTGTAGTTTATGAGCACATATCTTACAATCATATTATAGCTTATATACACATGTTCTACAGTCATATTGTAGCTTATGTATCAGGCCCATTACATCTTGTCCTTCCCAGAACGCGATGACCACGGGAAACTCTACTGGGACATGTGGCAAGTACTCGACCGAATCATCAAGAAGATTCCCAACACCCCTAAGCTGGTGGCTAAAGCGTATGACCTGTGTCGTTAATGAATCAGCGTATGTAAATTCATTGTGTCTGACTTTGGTCGTGACTTCATCGACCGAGTGTGTGTTGTGTGTGACGTGGTTTGTGCGTTCTGTTTTTCTGTAGTTATTAGATGACGCAATGCACATTGCAGGCGCAAATGCTGCTACGGATAACAGCTGTGTGCTCACGATGTGTTCACCTGCACAAGGCTGTTATCTGTTGCATCTAATTTGTTGCGGTCGACCTCGGCGGTTTAATATCTGAACAATTTTTTTTTTGTTGACGTTGTTGTAAATTTTTTATTTTGTAAATCCTTTTTTTATATTAACATTGTAGTAAATACTTTTTTTTATTATCATTGTGGTAAATCCAATATTTTTTCACGTTGTTGTAAATTTTTATTATTATTAACATTGTCGTACACCTTACATTGTTGCGGACACAACTCTACAACACACCTGCAGGCCGAACAACGAAGAGGAATCCTTCTACATCGTCCCACCGAATGTTCATAGGTAAGCATGCCGCCCCAGTGCGTGTGCAGGCGTGTGTCATTCAACGAGACCCCTGCTTTACGGAATCCACTAGTTGTTTCTGATCATGGACATGTCTGCAATGTGTACCATTTTCGCGTGGTTTGAGATTGATATATGCCATGCGCAAGGTAGTACAGTCAGACGGCGGGAGTGCGGAGAGACGATGATAGTGGACTATAGTGAGTATAAGTAGTAGGAGTGCATAGAGAAAATGGTAGTAGACTATAGTGAGAATAAGTAGTATGAGTGCACAACGACAATGATAATGGACTATAGTAAGGAATATATATTAGAGTGCTGTTCGATCCAGACAGCCAAATGAGGCAAAAGAGTGGGATAGATATCAGGCGAATGGGTCATAAATGTGGGGTAGATAACACAGGTTGCTGGCTTGAGGAGTTTACCCGAGTAAGTACTATTTGTCCATTTGATGATTCATTCCTATGACCCAGGCCTCCATATTAAACTCTGCGGACATGTTCACCCCAACTTATTATCCGTATGTTTGTGCTCCCGTCGTCCTGTTAGTTACTGTGTTGGTCCTAATGACTTTGATTTTACTCATTAACGCATGTCTGCTGCTAGTGCATCGGAGGCGGCATACAATAATGATCAGGTGGCCGTTGCACGCCAGCGGATGGCTCAACACTACCTGGACAAGAATAGACAGGTACGTGATACTAAAACAACACCAACAACAGACAGTTGCATCAGCTGTACAAGAATAGACAGGTACGTGATACTAAAACAACACCAACAACAGACAGTTGCATCATCTGTACAAGAATAGACAGGTACGTGATACTACAACAACACCAACAACAGACAGTTGCATCATCTGTACAAGAATAGACAGGTACGTGATACTAAAACAACACCAACAACAGACAGTTACATCATCTGTATAAGGCCTAAGTCCTAAACGCTTAACCCTAACCCTAAACCCGATCCTAAACCCTAAACCCTAAACGCCAACCCCGATTCTAAACCCCTAAACGCCAACCCCGATTCTAAACCCCTAAACGCCAACCCCGATTCTAAACCCCTAAACTATACCCTATTTTATTTACCTCGCATAGCTTCACCAGTTGATGGCGACCGAGAGTGGTATCCAGCTCAACCGCGCGTATGACCTGGATGGGCTGGTGACTATCCAACAGAAGTGTGTACAGGTGTGTGTGGACTGTATGGCTTTCGGCTATGCTCGCCAGCACTACACGGTAGCGTAACCAAGTCTCGCCAGCACTACACGGTAGCGTAACCAAGTCTCTGAGGAACGTTTGTATCACGTGTATGTAGTATATATGTTGTAGGGGACCCGTGCAGCTATGTAGACACAGATGTGTTTCATTGTAATTTAATTTGTTAAAAGCGAAACGATGTTTCTCGCCATACACTACAACCACCATCCCCATACACTACAACCCATATCCGTACTTCCCCTTTTTTCGGCGAATTTTCGGCGTGAATTACTGACGCTACTAGTAGACTAGTCGACTACTGGGCCTATTAAGGCCACTGTACTTCATATCGTATGAGTAGAGCTAGGTTCATCATATCATAAGTGCAGAGCTAGGGACCGCCTGAAACACCGTTGTTGGATCTCCTGGCAGTACCCAAGTGGAGGGTAGTTTGTTTTGATTCCTGTGAATTCATTGGTGTGTGGTATATTTGCGTGCATGTTGAGTATACCAGACAGTGTGGTACATGCCACCTCCCTGCATCACTGACGTGCGCTCTGTTCTGCATCGCAGTCGCTGAACACTATGCCCCCGGAAGCGCAAACGGAGGTTTGGATCAAGCTCGCGATAATAGTCAGCGAACAGGTGCACCTACTGCTAAAGGAGAACACGCACCTCAACATGGTAAGTCATGGCAGTATATGCAGGCTATCACACACCTCATCATGGTAAGTCATGGCGATCTATGTGGGCTATCACACACCTCATCATGGCAAGTCATGGCGATCTATGCAGGCTATCACACACCTCAACATGGCTGGTCATGCCAATCTATGTGGGCTATCTCTCACCTCATCATGGTAAGTCATGGCGATCTATGCGGGCTATCACACATCTCAACATGGTATGTCACTGCAATCTATGTAGGCTATCACACACCTCAACATGGTATGTCATGGCGATCTATGTGGGCTATCACACACCTTATCATGGTAAGTCATGGCAATCTATGTAGGCTATCACACACCTTATCATGGTAAGTCATGGCAATCTATGTAGGCTATCACACACCTCATCATGGTATGTCATGGCGATCTATGCAGGCTATCATACACCTCAACATGGTATGTCAAGGCGATCTATGCAGGCTATCACACACCTCAACATGGTTGGTCATGGCGATCTATGTA